TTAATAAGATACAACTTTTTTCTATTTATTTATAATTACAAGAACTGGTATATAATTATGTAGTTACCATTCCTTGGTTGAGTTAATGCACACTAATTTAAAATTTTTTAATTTGGGTCAATATCAAAATTCAAACCTATTAAATTCGAAGTACATAACTTCTACTAAGACAACCCCCTTCTCTCACCTTGGTTTCTTCTTTTACTCTAGTTTTTATCTTCTCTCTAACCAATGTTGCCTCTCTCCCCTTCGGTAGTTAAGGTAGATGGTTAAAGGTAGGAGTTGTTTCCTCTATTATGAGGGTTTTTCCATCTCATGAGAAGGTTTCTTCCTCTTTTTTGAAGCTTTCTGCTTTAACTTTCTCAATATTTTTTATTAGGATCATTATTGAAGGTATGATTGGAGATGGGATTACTAACTAAATTCTTATGTCTAACCAATTTACTTCCATCTACATGAATTATGTTAGAATACAGCTTAATTGCTAGATTTCAAGTTTGGATTTAATTGTGATATTCATGTAAGTATTAAATTATTTGATTTTGTATTTTTATAAATTTTATAAATGTAATACTTCTGGCGTATTAATTCATTCAATTTGGCCCTAACTCTTATAATTTTCATATATCAATGAAATTTATTTCTCATTAAAAAATAAAAGAAAAAAATATATTACTCTTATAGATTGTCAATTTATAATTAGTATTTTATACAACTTGTGATCGTCATATTAATGATCTTCTGTTTTGACAATGAATTTATTACACATAAAAGAAAAAATGAATTTACCTAAAAATTAAAATGTTTTTCTAACTTGTGTCCTTATGACATAAGTTAATAGTGTAATTATTGTATTTTTTTAACATTAATTAGTATTAAAAAATTCAAAAATTGTAATTAATTTCACTTTTAATGCCACACAAATCATTTTAATTAAATGGTGATTTAAATAAATATCAACTTTTATTTTTTCAATATTAATTAATATAAAAATGGTATAGTAATTATACCATTAACTTATACTAAACATAAGTTGAGAAACCTATGTACCAAAAAAAAAATAAGTTAGAGAAACCCAAAATTAAAATAAAATACTCACTCTACTCAACTTTAGTTGGCCTAATTAATAAGGATGTAATAATTAATTAATAGAAATTTAATATTTATCTAGTTTACCACTACTAAAATGAGTGTTCTTATAATAGTATTTGTTGTAATTATTTTCTTAAAATAAATGTAAAATAGAAATGAATACATTTAATGACATCTTTAAAAAAAAAAGTGAATAACTTATTTTAAACATTTCAAATTCAAAATTAGTCAATTAAAATTAAATAGAGAAAATACTTAAATTGAGAATGAGGTGGGATAGTGACTTCTGTGTTTCGGCTGGGAAATATTTCATTTTGGTAAAATTGCTAAGGAAATTTATTTACCATAAAGAAAAGAAGCTGCTGGGGAAATTCGATTGGTGAATAAAAATTTTTTTTTAAAAAAGATCTTAAAAGAGGGTTTCTCAATATGACTTCAAAATTTTGCTTATATTGGAAGTGCCGAGCTGGAGCTGGGTTTTGCCATTTATAGGTGAATTGGTCTTAGGTTTCTTCGTCTCAACATGCAGCTTTCATTTTTGGGCTATCAATTTGGTAGCTGCTGGAGCCACTTGTTGAGGGCTGACATTGGGATCAACAGCATCTAATTTCTTTTCTTCTTTTGGTAAAATCTAAGTCTATTTTTCTTTTCGGCCTTCTACATCCGGTAACTACTTGCATCAAAAAGGGATGAGATTAATTTTTAAAGGGTTTTTTTCACTCATACCTTTAGAAAAGTTAAAAGTCTTAAAAAGATAAATATTGACATTAAATTTATTATTTATTTAATTAAATTTATTCACATAATAATAATTTTAAAATTAATATTAATTTCTATATTTTTTATAAAAATTATGACAAGACAAATACCTTAGTTAAGAGTATAGATTACAAAAAAAACCTTTTTAAAATTTTAATCATGTAATTACAGATAAAGAGAAAATGAAAATTACTGTTTTCATTTGTGACAAATTACAAAATTTTATCAAAAATATTTTAAAAAATATATTTAACACTCAAATCTCTAAAAATAAAAAATAATATACATACTCTAAAATATATTATTTTAATAAATTTTTAATAAAAAATTAAAATAACTTAACATTAAAGTAAAAACAAATCTTTTTTATCTTTTCACGTATTACATAGTATCATGATCCCAACAGTATCATGATCCCAACATCTTCATTGCCTTTTTTTTGTGGCATTCTTACACTATATATTATAGGTTTTTATTTTATTTCTAATCTTGGATTACACAATAAGAATTAATCATCACTCATTTTTTATCTCATTTACATATCATATGACTAAAACTTAAATGATCTCTTACATCCACTGAAAAGATATAATTGCTGAATTAGTTAAAGTTGTTACTATTACACTATATATTAGAATTACATTTAAATCATTTACATTAAAGGAAGACATTAAAGAGAAAAAATAGTGGACTAATTGATCATATACACTTATCATATAAAATTATTTGCAATAGTATAATAATTTCAATCGTAAAATAATTCAAACAATTGGTATTAATCCTTCTGTGGCAATCCGATGAACAATTCGGTCTCAATCTCTGAGCATCGGTTATTTTGGGTGCAATCATTTACTACTTTCCTTTGTTGGGTTAATGGTTGCTGCCATAGCTTCCCACCATCACACCACTATCCATATCAAAAGAGAGTTAGATAATTTATTTTTATTTAAAATAGGCTTTTACTATCTACATTATACCAAATTATCAGTTACATCAAATTACAAAATATGAGTGATTAGATGATGGGAGCATTGATTGTAAGGCTGTCCCCATCATCTAACAGCCAAGTTTTTGCAGCCCAGTGTAAATATGGATTGAAAATTTGTCTTTTTTATTTTGTAAGTTAAAATAAATAAATAAATGAATAATTAATTAAAAAAACCTCCGAGATTATGAAATGAAAGACTCACCTTTTCATATAACTTTACATTTTCTTCTAACAACATTCTTTCCTAAATTAAGACAAGAAAATGTATTATTGAGACAAAAACAAGAGATACTGTTGAGAAGCTAATAGCTAGAAGATTGAGGAAGTACTATATGTTTAATTCAATGGGGTGAGCTATTCTTACCTTTGCTTTTAGTTGTTGTATCTGCTCCTTATATAACTGGACCTATAATATAGGACATAACATACTTAATTAATGTACTTTCATGCAAGCAAACACAACTTTCAACAATTGTTTAGGAATTGTATGTGGGTAGATGTATGGCACCACGAAGAATCTAATCAATGATATGAGGAACATCAAGCCAAAGTCCCTTGCATGCAGGTAGATGGCACAATGAAAAATCAATTACAGATGCATTAAAGAATCCAGTC